GGAGGAGGTCCCGCGCCGCGGAGCCCACCCGCGGAGGGAGGCCTGGCTAGCCAGGCTGCTGTCCGACCTAGATTTCCGGAGGTAGGCTGTCCCGAGGCCGGGCGCCGCGTGCGGGTCGCCGTGGGGGAGGCGACCGCTCCCCTCCACGCAGTTGCCCCGCAGGTGCGGGCGCGGCCTCGGCCCTGAGGGGGAAATGTCCGGTGTTTCCCGCAGGTCTCGGAGGCTCCGGTACCTGTCCGGCCCGCGGGACGTCCCGGTGGCGGCGCACGGAGGAGCTGCCCTGGCCCTGATCACCGGACAGCCGGCCGGTCCCCTCCCCGCGGGGGCCCCCCCGCGCCGTAGCCCCGTGTTCTTGCCTTACCCTAATCATGTGACAGCACCGCCTTGCCCTCCTGTCTTCCGTCCAGTCGAGTCCATTCGGCACAAGTTAGTGTTGCGGTAAGGGCCTGAGTTTCCTGCCTGTCCGCTCGCCCCGCACCCGGCCTGCGGTGACTGCCGCATGCCACACCTGTGTCCCCCGGGAGGCGGCCCCCGTGCGCCGCCCCCACCCCGTGTGTGTTCTGTGTGACAAGTTTGTCAGTCCTCTCTTAAAACTATTCTTTCTTTTTTCTTGCACATTTCTTCAAATACTCCCAATTCGAGTCTGGGCTGCTTTTTGCACAGAACCCAACAGGAAATATTAAGTACCGTAGGATGATTTTAGAGACCTTGGTAGTGCCACACAGGTTCAGCTTCTAACTCCAGGGAAGACTGCAGTTCATGAAAAGACCCTGTACTAAGTCAGAAGGAAGAGTGGGAGAAGCCAAGGTTATTTGGAGTTTTCCTTTTCTGTGTGGGTACTGGGGCTTGAACCAAGACCCTTGCTCAGTCCCTGATTGTCTTCTCCCTCCAGGCTAGTGCGCTGTCACTCGAGTCACAGGTCCATTTCTGTCTTTTGGCTGGTTGATTAAAGAGTCTTAACCTTCTTTGCTGGGCTAGCTTTGAACCACCATCCTCAGATCTTAGTTTCCTGAATAACTGGGATTACAGGTATGAAGCACTAGTACCCCGCTATTTGGCACTGTGTGTATAGGAACTTTGTCAGTTTTAGAACACATGTGAAGAGATTTGCATAGATCATGTTTGAACATTGACTATCTCACTAGATCCTTAGGGACTGGAGGAGGGATCTTCATACCCCATTTGTCATCCCTTTGTGTTCAAATCTAAGTTGGTAATTATCTTGTCCTAGTAATTGCCTAAAACTTTAGACACTTAAAATGTTGGGGAAACGTAAGCGTGTAGTGTTGACAATTAAGGACAAGCTTGACATTATTAAGAAACTTGAGGAAGGCATCTCTTTCAAGAAACTTTCCGTGGTGTATGGGATTGGTGAATCCACAGTTCGTGATATCAAAAAGAACAAAGAAAGGATCATAAACTACGCCAACAATTCGCATCCTACAAGTGGGATATCCAAACGTAAGTCTATGAAGTCATCAACCTATGAGGAGCTTGACAGAGTTATGATAGAGTGGTTTCACCAACAGCAAATGGATGGGGTTCCTGTGTCTGGAACTATTTGTGCAAAACAAGCCAGGTTCTTTTTTGATGCTTTGGGGATGGAAGGTGATTTTAATGCATCATCTGGCTGGCTAACTCGATTTAAGCAGCGCCACGGCATTCCCAAGGCTGCTGGCAAAGGAACAAAGTTAAAAGGGGATGAGACTGCTGCCAGGGAGTTTTGTGGTAACTTTCAGGAATTTGTGGAGAGAGAGAATCTGCTACCCGAACAAATCTATGGTGCTGATCAAACGGGGTTGTTCTGGAAATGCCTCCCTACACGGACACGTGGTTTTGACATGGAGCAAAGTACTTCTGAGTGTAGGTCAAGCAGAGAAAGAATCATTATTATGTGTTGTGCAAATGCCACGGGTCTGCACAAACTTAATCTTTGTGTCGTGGGGAAAGCGAAAAGACCCCGGGCGTTCAAAGGAACAGACCTTGCAAACCTTCCTGTCACTTATTTCAGTCAAAAAGGTGCGTGGATCCAGCAGTCTGTGTTCAGACAGTGGTTTGACAAGTGCTTTGTGCCCCAAGTACAGAAGCATTTGAAATCTGTGGGACTTCTAGAAAAAGCTGTGCTTCTTTTAGATTTTCCCCCAGCCCATCCTAATGAGGAACTGTTGAGTTCAGACGATGGTAGAATAATTGTGAAGTATTTGCCACCAAATGTCACGAGTCTCCTTCAGCCTATGAGCCAGGGAGTTTTAGCTACCATCAAAAGATATTACCGAGCAGGACTTCTTCAAAAATACATGGAGGAAGGGATTGATCCAAAAGTGTTTTGGAAGAACTTGACTGTGTTAGATGCAATTTATGAAGTTTCAAGGGCTTGGAACATGATCAAATCAAGCACTATAACCAAAGCATGGAAAAAACTTTTCCCTGCTAATGAAGAACATTCAGGCATGAACATTGATGAAGGGGCCATTTTAGCAGCTAACTTAGCAACAGTTTTACAGAATACAGAAGACTGTGAACACGTGGATATTGAGAGTATCAATCAGTGGTTTGATTCTCGGAGTAATGACTTGAGCTGCCAGGTCCTTACTCACGGTGATGTTCCTCAGGGCCAAGCCAAGACTACTGAGCAAAGGCTTTCTCATAAAACTCGAAAAGCAGACCTGAATCCAGAGAAGCACATTAGCCATAAAGCTGCACTGGAGTGGACTGAGAACTTGCTGAATTATCTAGAACAACAAGATGACATGCTGCTGTCGGATAAGTTGGTATTACGGAGGCTGCGAACCATAATAAGAAGAAAACAGAAGATCCAAAATAAATGTCATTTGTAGTGCTTTTAAGTGTTTCAGTTGTATTTCCATCTTTGGGACTGTCTGCAGTAGAACTTACCTGAGTTGAAATGCTATGGATCCCAAAGCCCAATGCATTTTATAAATGATTTGAAAGTTAGATGCCATTTTAGATTCCTTAAATTACAGTTCTTGAATGTGGACTCTAGGAATTGAGTGTTGACATGTACCTTGTCTATCTGCTGTTTCTCCTCTGTACTATACTAACTAGATCAGAAGATAATTGAGGTCAGGGAACCTGTGTCTGTTCTGTGCCTGAATTTCAGTGAATCTTATAAAGGGCCATGCACACAATAGGCACTCAATAAATCTTATTTAAATGAAATTCTTATGACTCTGAATTTCAGTCTCTAAATTGGCTTATTTTAGAATCAGTTTCCATTTCTGCTACTGAAAATGGAAGAGCTGTGTGAAGATTGTACATTGGAGGGGCAGTAGTGAAAAGCCTTTCTGTATCATTTCTATACTAGCAGACCTCAAGCAGCTATTCGGATTTTCCACTTACAATGTCATCTGAAAGTCAGGTCAAAATGGCCCCAGGGAATGGGTGTCCACTTCCATTGCACCTAGCAGGGAGAGTTCCTGCACCATTGTGGAAAGGATGCCAGCCTTGCACCAGGAAAATAAAGTCCAGTTTCTAAACCACTGTGATTGGAAGAGGTAAGGGTTAAACCTTATTGTCTGTCATGTTGAGTCTTCACAGGTGCTTAGGTTTTCTTCTTTAGTGCTGTGTTCAACATTAACATGTGGAGGCTTGCATAGTGGGTCACCATTGAACTTTGGGGAGAGCATGTGAGCAGGGGACCCACTCTAGGCAGATCATGAGAGGCGCCAGAAGATCCAAGGCCGCTGTGTGACCATGGGAAGCTACCAAGGCCCCGTTTGTGAAATAAGAATAATTCCTACCCGAGGGTATGTGAGGAATGAATGACTTCATGCACAAATCTTAAGTAATAGGGATCTTGGTACAGAATCACTCTGTGAGTGCTAGCTCCTGGCACTGGTACTGCATGAGGAAACTACTTCCTCAGGAATTGAGATAGAGAAATAGAAATAATTTGTTTCAGCTAAAATGGAATACTTTTTTTTAATACTTTTTTTTCAGTGAAAACTGAAAAGTCGAGTTTATAAACTTTGTTGATCATCTGATGTAGGAGCAATGAGTTGTGCAGGCATGTATAAAACATGGTTAATTATAAGAGGAAAGAAAATGGGAATGGAATAATAATTTCATTGCTGCAGGCTGTTAGTACATTGCTAATAGAATAGTTAGCTTTGTTCATAGAAAAAATGCTATATGAGTATTGGCATAGCCCATTGAAACAATATGCTTCCATCAAAGTAGATAATAGGACACTTGGGATGTTTTTTGCCAAACTACAGTAACACAATTAGAGCAAAAGAAATGTCACAGAGACTGGTTGTATACTAATTAGGCCCAGCCATTGGTAGCTGAGCCTAAACCATTGTGGGCTTGATGTGTCACAGTTCTTTCTTTCATGAGGCTACCATGAACTCAGAATTCTGACTTTCAGTATGAGGGTTTGGGATCTGAATGTCTTCTACAAAACTAAAGATTCATTTTCTTTGGGAGAAGTCATAAATCATTAACACACCTTCCTCAAACTACAGTTTCATCTGCTAGACAGACTTGAGATGTGAGTGCACAGGTAAGTCTTGAGGCTCATTGATTTTTCTCTTAGAGACCAAGAAAGGGTGAAGCCTGTCTTTGAATCCTGTTTTGTATTTTTCAGTGTTTTTTTTAACTAATGAAAGCTACTCAGACTTCTTCAATTGGGACATTAAAATGGTTTAATCTTGTCTTATTCATAGACACTACCATAAACAGTGTGTCCTAATTCCATAATTCATTGCGGTACCAACACATCCACCTTCCAGAAATGAATAAATCTGGAAAAACAATACTGTGTGAAGTAGGCCAGGCCCAGAAAGACAAAGGGCACATTTTTTTCTTTCACATGTGGATGTTATACCTAAAATATAAAAATATGTAATTGCACACAAGGCCATGTGCATATAGTTGTATATGTGTGTATATATTCATATATGTATGTATATATGAATATATACACACACATCCATATACACATATGACCAAAATCAATGAAGTATATGCAGGAGTGAGTCCATGGTGTAAACCTTTGAACAGTGAACAGTTTTGGGAAGGTGAAATGTCTTGACTAGTTTGGTGGGAGTTAAAGGAAGGGAGAAGGACAAATGGAGAGAAGAAAAGTGGGCAGATGCAGTCACTCATGGTACATGCATGAAAATGTAACTAGGAGACGAGGCAATAGGGAAGGAAAGAGATGGGATATACAGGCAAAGGATGCACAGGGAGGCTGATTAAGGTACTTTGTCCATAATAGGTGCTAACTGAAACTACTTTGTGCAACTACTTCAAAATAATAGTAAAAAAAACTTCCCTTTTAGATAATGTATTACATTGGATGGTCTAGAAAGACATAGTTATTTTGGTAAACAGGAATAGGTAGACTTTATTTTGCCCACTTTAAAGAAAATGTACAAATTTGACTCTTCCTGAAAGTGCATATTTTTTAGGAGACTTGAAAGATAAAACCTAGGCAAATCAAAAATGCTTGGCTCTTAACAGCTTTTCATTGTAAATTGGATTGTGGGAATATTTACTGTTGTATAATTCAATCTCACAGTAATGCAGTGGTTGATTGGAAAAGTTTGGATGCTCGAGAAATACAATCAAATGGGCTGGGCCCAGATTGGTAAGGACAATCAATTCAAGTAGAATTAGAGGATTGTAATAGTTATTGTCCTGAAGACTATAATGACTATTGTTTTGTAATTCCTCTTGCTTTCAGTCTACTTCAGGCTCAGCTGTGCAGTCTGCTGAATGTTCAACCTACACCCCATTCCTTATGTGTTTGGGATTTTATGGAGAGTCCATCTTGTAGATAGAACTGGTTAAATCATTGGCCATTGGTCAATAGCTCAGTCTCCAGCCCCTGCCTCCTCCCTGGAGGTTGGGAAGTTGGGCTGAAAGTTCTAAGTTTCTAGTCACCAAGGCCTAGTCTTTCATGAGCAGGTAAACCCCTACTTCCTGTGATTGCAAAGACTTCCTCTTTTGGTACTTGTGAGAGAAGTCAGTTCCACTTCTGATCCTTAGCTCTCCAAACTTGATTCCTCTTTCTGCATCAGTGGATCTGTCAACCATTTCAAAGAGGATGAAGAGTATTTCCCCTTCATTCCAGTTAATTCAGCCGATCCTGGGTTGAGAAATGCAGTGGTCGCTGCAGTCACCACATCAGAGCAGGGACTCCTTCAAGGAAGTAGATGTTGTGTGATCTGGCTCTCCCAGATCTGACTACTAGCTTGTTCTCATCACAGATCCTGTTCGAAACTCTGAAAATAGATTTGGTTCTAAAACATCTTGTTTAGTCTAGAATGTTCTTATTAGCCAATAGGAATTCTCCCTCACGGTCCTTCTGCTGCTGTTTTAACCTTCCCCTCTTCTGTGTTTCCAGTTTTTTTCTTCTGTTATCTTTCATTGGGTCCTTTGTTCCTTTTAGCTGATACTTAGTTAAAGACCTACAGTCTAGCCAACAAATTTGAACTTGAAAACAGAAATTCTGTATCCAACCATAAGCACATTAAATAAATACTGAGTATCTGAAAGGAACAGTACCATACTAAGTGCAATGTACACGATTAAGATAAAAGTTTTATCTTCAAGGATTTTACAAAAAGGAATGGAAGACAAGCCTCTGCACAAATAATTACAATGAAAAGCTACAAACCATTATTTAATAAAAGTCAGAGATGGGAGAAAAAAAATCTAGAAAGATATCACAGAAATCAGGGGGGGGGAAATGCCCTTCAAGGAAAACAAAAATTGGATATACAAGCAGGAACAAACCTGAAATGAATCAGTTGTGTTTGGCAATAAAAAGTCACTGAGCCCCTATCCTGGTGGTTAGATTCCCCACATGGCTGAGAATAATTCAAAATACTAGATAAAATCTAAGGAAACCCTATCTTTTCAATGCATTTCCCCCAAACTGTGCAGATAAAAAGAATGATAAGGGAGCTTACTTGCTGCTTATATAAAACAGAAGCAGACCCTGTGCTCTCTGTTGCCCGCACAGGAGGCTGGGAGATTCCCTTTCCATAAATGGAATTTGTGAAAAAAAATTCAGCAAGCTTTCGCATATACTTGGGATATTTGCACATCTCTGCCATTTCTTTCAATAAAACTTTGTCTGCATTTAAAACAACCATCAAATCAAATGAGAACCATGGCTTTTGCATGGAAGGTACCTACTGGATTCTGGCATGGTCAGATTCCAGTTTGCTGTTTGAGGAGGAACAGGATCTCAGGTGAGTCCTATAGAAAATCCTCAAAGTTGGGAGCTTGGAAGACAGACTGTAGGTGAAAGGGAATTGGAAGGAATTCCCATCAGTCCAGGAGGGCTGATAAGAAACCATTCTTGTCTTGGTCTTAGCTTCCATGGGGAGAAATCAAAACATCTTTCTTGGGAAACCTGCCCCTCACATGGACTTGCCACATGATTTTAGTCTCTGCGTTGTCCCAGATGATCCAGCTGAAGGCTGCCTTCTAAGCAGTTGTGCTTGCAGGAGGCTGTTAGGAGTAAACACAAATCTTCACTGAAGGAACACAACTTCAACATGGGCCTCCAGGAATTTCCATGGACAAGTCCCAAAGAACCAGAGTGCACAGACGCAGCAGAAGGCAGCGTCTCACCCTCTTCAGTGAATGTGAAAACAGCCAAGTTCAAGTGAAGAGCCACTTGGCGATATGAGCAAGGGGTAAGAGACTTGGAAAACAAACAATCATGATCATGCACATTTTGTATATTATTCATTGTATTTTATTGGAAAATAAGGTTTTATGCTTGGAGGACATCTTGAATCTATCTTAGGTAAGATGAAACATAGGATAGTGAATGGTACTGTGACCTTTGTCAGGGCAGCCTCCTAGAGCGTAGGGTCAGTCAGTAAAAGGTCATGCTTTTCACCGGGTGCTGGAGACAGATCTGAGGTTCATGGTTCAAAGCCAACCCAGGCAGGAAAGTCCATGAAACTTTATCTCCAATAAATTACCAAAAAAGCTGGAAATGGAACAGTGGCTCAAGTGGTAGACTGCGAGCCTTGAGCCAGAGGAGCTCAGGGATAGCGCTCAGGCCAGGCAAAAACAAAATAAAAAAAGGTCATTCTTTTCTATGTGAGCATAATATTCTGCAATTTGTAAATATTAAGAATGGACTAGAGGGTGTGATTCAGTGGGGGAGCACCTGCTGGGCAAGCATGAGGCTTGGCGTCAGTTTCT